GTTGCCATTTCTTTCTATGGTAGACCAGTTGCCATCCAAGGCTACAGAACGCGATCTGTCCTGCTATTTACTCCCTCCCCAAAGAATCCTCTGAATCATTGGTTCATACCTTTCCCAAGGGTATTATCACGTAAGTGAATGTAATGAATTCGACTGGAATTCGAACTCGGCTCTCCGAATCCCCAATCCGAGCTGTTATCCATTACTCTATCGTGCCTCCCTCTGGGGTGAAATAAAATGGGGGAGATTAGGGCTCATGTTATCATTTAGTCGGCACCTCTATTTCGTTACTTTTCGGATTTTATTTGGAAAACGAAAGAAATAACAGTACAGACGAAAGTAAAGAAAACATATCAGAATATAAAGATAAGCCCTTACTGGGCTAAATAAACTATGTCTCATCTCAGTCGAAGATGGATGTAGTGACTCAGTTCTTTTTTCTTTCTTTTTTCTTCGCCCCTTGTATGTTCATCTTTTAATTCTCACAAGAACGCAGGGAAAAAAATCGTTGTCGGTAGAATTTCCCGTATTACTGGCATCCTTGTTAGACCGAACACAAAAATTATAAATAGAAAAAGAAAAAAAAAAAAAAAATTCCGTTCATGTGTATGTATCTATGTATGTCCAAGTACTTATTAACACACTGACTGCCAACCACGAGATAACTCGTACATGATAGTTTTTATTATGACGCCGACTACAGGTTATCTCGTGCCAACGAGTATATTCGTAGTTATATAGTTACAGTGCTTCCTTGGTAACGATAAAAGAAATTCAAAGGGAAGAAATCGAAGGAAGATCATAAGGTACAGTTTGTTAGAGTATGGAAAGTCATAAGGGACACTTTGTTAGGGTATGGAAAGTCATAAGGGACACTTTTTTAGGGCATGGAAAGTCATAAGGGACGCATTTTTAGACTATGGAAAGTTATAAGGCACGCTTTCTTAGGGTAGGGAAAGTTATAAGGGACACTTTGTTAGGGTAGGGAAAGTCATAACACGCATTGTTAGAGTATGGAAAGTCATAAGGTACGCTTTGTTTGACTATGAAAAGGTCATAAGGAACGCTTTGTTAGGGCATGGAAAATTTTAATGTATGCTTTGCTAGTGTTGCCAGCAAAAGGAACAGCCCACCATGCAAATTACAAATTGGAGATATCAAAAACAAGCAAGGGCAACTATTTAAATATCTAAAATTAAATAGAGTAAGTAAAGTCATAAGGTACGTTTTGTTGGGCTATGGACAGTTATAAGGTACTCTTTGTTAGTGTATGGAAAGTCATAAGGTACGTTTTGTTAGACTATGGACAGTTATAAGGTACACTTTTTTAAAGTATGAGAAGTCATAAAGGAAACTTTGTTAGGGTATGGAAAGTCATAAGGCACGCATTGTAAGGCTATGGAAAGTCATAAGGTACGCTTTGTTAGACCATGGGAAGTCATAGGATACGCTTTGTTAGACCATGGGAAGTCATAAGATACGCTTTGTTTGGTTAAGGAAAGTCATAAGGCTTTGTTAGGGCGTGGAAAGTTATAAGGTAGGCTTTGCTAGGGTTGCCATCAAGAAGGAACAGCCCACCATGCAAATTACAAATTAGAGATAGCAAAATCAAGCAAGGGAAACAATTTAAATAAATTAAATAGAGTAGGGAAAGTCATAAGGTACAACAATTTAAATATCTGGGAAGTGTTTTAAAAGAAGACGTAAAGTGCGTCATCAAAAGCCGAAGGCGCATTTGGATAGCCAAAGAAGCCCCTAAAAGCTAAGCAACGTATTAAGAAATAGGAAAATTGTATTAGAAACGAAGAAAAGTGTTCTGAACTCTTACGTAATATTAGTCCTTCTATATTGTAGTGAAAGTTGAACAATCTCCTCACAGGTGAAGAAGAGACGGAAACGTAGTTCAACAGAAAGATATTGAGAATAGAATGGACTGAACATGTGAGTAACGACAAAGTTTTTGGGAAAATGTAAACAAAAAGACAGTTATACTTCAAATCAGAAAGAGACAGCTGAAATCTATTGAGTACATAGTGAGGAATGTGGGCTTAGAAAATTTGATACACACAAATGTGAAAATTTGATACATAGGACAAAACGGACAGAGAAAAACAGCGAATAACCTACTTAACAAGCTTGTGTAAATGGTTGGCAGGACAGGGATTAGGAGAGAGAGCAAAAAGTCAAAATATACAAAGAGCTGCAAAGAAGAGGATGTGGAGAGCCATAATTGTCCACGTCCTGAAGGGAAACGGCACATAAAAGAAAAACATATGCATGGAAATGTTTGACTTTCTTTTTTATAGTTTAACCCACACAATTACCTCCCCCTGTCTTTCATTCTTACACAAACACAGGGCCGGTGTGTACTACCCCACGACTGGTGGGAAGACTGATTGGGGGTCCCAGGCTGTGTTTTGTGACCCTCGCTATCAACATTTGCTTTCTTCTACCTACATTTATATACGTTACATTGTTTTTTCGTCCAAATCCTTTTTGCTAATGCTAAATCCCGAAAATTCACTGTTTTATCCATAATGTTGAATGTCTTTTAAAGTTATTCGACTTTTTAAGAACAACAACTTCAATTTGATGCTAAGAATTGGAGCAAAACATTGTTGATTTATTTAAGACTAGCAGTAAAACCCGACTTCGACCGGGTGTTTCATTACGTAGGAATTTTTGCCGTTCATTTGGAGCAGTTTAAATTTAAAGTCAACCCACCCGAAAATCAATATTAGTAAGAACAATCGGGTGGGGGGTTAACAATTCGAATCAGTGGGTAGCCCTGAAAAGGGCCATTTTTGCGTTCTCAATCTTGCAAGAAAGGAACCGCTTCTATGGACCGCCATAAGATAATCTTTTATTTATAATATAACTTTTTTATAACTCTAATAATCTTTTCCGTTAGATTTCAACTCTTTAAATTGATTGTACGCTGTGTTTTACAGACATTAAATTTTGCCTTTGATTTTTGCGCAAATTATACAAAATCGGTTTTTTCGATTTTTCACCTTCGAGGTTGTAATTTTTTTCCAGTAAATTTGGACTCCAAAACGGCACTGAAAAATTATCTATCAAATAAAAAATTTAATCGAAATCGGATGAAAACTGTGGAAACGGAAAACAACATCCGATCACACACATACACACACACATTTTGAAAATTATAGATATAGATGGAATGATCTATTATGATATATCTGTAATTTGTATTTAGATACATTGTATTTATTTCCAATTTTTCCAGTTGAATTGTTCACCTGTATTGCATATGAGCCATTATTGTACATAATTAAGTTAGAATAAAATGTCTGTTTTACATGAATACTACCTAATGAAAATTGCGATGTAGTAGACTGGTGGGGGGTGTATCGTATTTTGGTGGAAGCACGATACCTTTGTACCGGCCCTGCGCACACGAATAGAATCATCCATTCAAAGAAATATGTTTTTATATAAGAACGCTGTTCCTGCTGAAAAATAAGACTTCTCATGCAGCAAAGTACACTATCAAAAAAAAAAAAAAATGAAACAAATAAAATAAAAAACAGCGTAAAGTGGGTGTATAAGAATGTCAAATTCGACAAACAAAATACATTTTATTAAATGTACAACCAGTACATGTCAAGGTCCATTGGACCCCCGGTTGACAATTCCCCTGGCAACTGGAGACTGATAGCCCCACGTGACAGGCGGCTTTTCAATTGACTTTTACCGAGAACTTTATGACGTGGGTCACGTGACAACTATTTTGTCAGTTCCTGTCGAACCGTAATCTTCCCACCGCAAACAACGGAAGTCGTTCTTAAACGCTGCGGCGCACACTAACTTCAAACGGGTCGCCCTGTCAGAAGTTCATAAAGTAATTATCCCCACCTCTAACCTCGCCTCCAACACAATAAGCCTCATCGAAAATGTGTTTGAGATCTTGACAACAGATTAATCAATAAACGCGAATAATAAATAAATAAAACGGAAGCTGTCATAAAACTTATTTTGGAAACAAAAGTTGGACAGAGAAGGGACAATGATAGTATTTAATTCCCCAATATTTATTTTTAAATACATCTTTTATCATTTTTCACGATGGCTTCTTCCTTGTTATCTGTTTCATTATTCATCTTCTCGAACTAACAACGTCAAATTTCTCTGATGCCTCCCCACTAAATTCATCGGTTTTATTATTTTTCATGTCGCATTCCTTCGTTCATCCTCTTTTTTTCTTTAATATTTCTATCACTTTTGTCCCCCTTTTTAATAACCTTAATTTCCTTAAGCATCCCCACATTTCTGCTTCCCCTACTCCCTCCCAAAATGATGTCTACATATCAACGCAGGATGCGAATACATTCCCAAATCATAACATTATCGTTGTCATGTGCGCATGCGCAATCATACTAACTTCACTTACGACGCACATAAATCAAGGAATTCATTTATACACGGAACACAGAGAGAAACTGTTCCGATTTATTCACCCTATATTGTATCCTTTACTAAGTCATTAAGGGAAATTATTTTCCGGAGTATTGATTCTGAACAAAAGAAAACTGTACACTTCTTTTTACGACTCCATTACTTTTATTTATTCCCGCGTCAAATATATTGAAATCTTTTAATTCAAGCTTTACAACTATAAAACAAATAATAATTTTCTTTTCTTTTTTTAAATTGTTTTATCCCAAGGAAGGCAACAAAGCCACTAACACACAGGGAATTACAGAGTGTGAAAGAACATAAGAAGAAAAAAAACATTATTAAGAAGTGAGAATAATAAAAGAACAAGAATAAAGAAGATGGGAAGATAACATGTGACATTACATTTTTGAAAATCAAATTTGACTGGAAAGTAAGAAGCCGGAAGAGAGTTCCACAAGCGAGAAGAGCGAGAGAAGAAACTGTTAGCATAGAACTTACGGTTACGTCTAGTAATTTTCAAAAATTATGGGACCTTGCCGCTAATTTAGTACTGCGCTTGAATTCAGTCTTACGGACACATCACGTTAAAACACCGTTTCCCGTACGATCACCGAGGTTAAGGAACGTTGACCTTGGTCAGTACCTAAATGGGTGCCCGCCTGGTTATACCAGGTGCTGTAAGCTTGGATGTGTGGGTGGTGTAATGGATAATAGCTCGAAATTATTCATCGGAAAACCAAATTCCAATACCCGTTGGGTTCGTTAGATTCACTTACGCGTAAATACCCTTGGGAAAGATATGAATGCAAATACCCTTGGGAAAGGCATGAATGCAAATACCCTTAGGAAAAGGATGAATGCAAATAACCTTGGGAAAGGTATGGATTCACTTCATCTCGCCCAATGGGTTAATTAATAAGAATTGTGTCATTAAAATATTATCTGCCCCCCTCCAAATCTTACAATTTAAAAAAGTATTTCTTGGCTTTAATCCTCAAAGGGTTGATAAACCGTAAAAAACGAATAACTCAGTTCATCAGAATATTTACATGAAAGTATTTATAGAAAAGGCACAGGGAAGCTATATTACGACGGTGGGAATGTTACTGAGACCGGGATGCCAGGTCAGGAACAATGACATTGCAGATTATTCTTTGTATTTACCAAGGATCTTTAAATAGATAACAAGAACAATAGACCATATGTGGCAGCAATATTCTAGGCATGGAGGAATGCTAACAAGATTAACTGAGCAGGTATTTTTTAACATTACACCATGTAATCACTATCTGTATCAATAAGAAGTTATAGTGGATTTTGCTGGCGTATATATGGGTTCGAGCCCTACCATTGTATGAGCAAGCTAATCTCGAAATTCAGTCCACTCTTGTGTGCCCAAAACTTGTGTCTTTGTGCTGGTTAACAGCGAAGTTGGGACGATGTTACTGGTTCACCCGTTTTTTTCTATTTTATCAGTACAATTTCTGGAACGATTAAGGAATCGATCTGCGGTGGACCTATGAATTTATTTCGAGTGAAAGATAATTTGTATGTCAAGAAAATAGTCTAAAACATATCGAAAAATGAAGGCTTAATTACCTATGAAGTGATTTTCATGTAGTTTTTAGTTACAATGACAGTAATGTGGGCTCTCTGAGTGATTTCTAGATTCAATTTTCTTTCAAAACTTTTCATCTATAATGTCTTTGCGCCTTTCCTTGCATATATCATCTGACGACGAAGAGAAAGGTGTAATCCAGGGCCGGTGCAAGGGACTCGTGGACCCCTACTTAGAATCTATAATGGGGCCCAACCTCAGGACCCACAAATCTATTATACTCCCAACATCTATGACCCCCTCGAATCTATGATACACTATTACATCTCGATTTTCATAAGGTAGTATTTATATAAAATAGACATTTTATAATAACCTAATTATGTACAATAATGAATCATGTGCAATTTACGCGAACAATTCAACTAGAAAAATTGATAATAAATACAATGTATCTAAATACAAATTAGAGACATGTCATAATAGATCATTCCATTTTAAATAAATAAACAATTCTTTGCGGTAATTTTTAACATCAACTTGAGGTTGTTCGTGTTAAAAAGTTGAATAATTTTAAAAGATTCAACATTCTGGATAAAAATAGTGAATTTTATATAGTTTTATTTTTAAACTTAGCAAGAGCAAAACAAATTCACAGATTTTGACAACAAAAGATCCCAGAATTACGCCCAAATCTTTCATTCTTTAATACTCAGTTCTGTTTAGTTTAATCTGTGTAAATATAGATAGAAAAAAAGCAAACATTGCCCAGGGGTCCCAATCATACTGGCCTGCTGTTTGGTGTAATCGAATATAGTACGCACTGGTCCTAATATCCGTATTAAAAATGATTGAGTTTAGGAACAACTGAACACAAAGGTAAAAAACAGTCTATCGTTGATAGCTTTTCACATACACACTATATATATATATATATATATATATATATATATATATATATATATTCGGTAAAAATGAGTATACATGATGAAGAAATGACTCAAACTAAACTTAAAAGCAAAGTTTTATCATCAAAATATTTATGTTATTATTAAGAGGGAAGGCCAAAGAATTTTTGTATTTTTAAATTATATTTTTTAATCCGTTTCGGAAACTTTAAAATTATATATAATTTTAATGTATATATATATATATATATATATATATATATATATATATTTATTATTATTATTTATTATATATATATGACTGACTCCCGTTCAACATTTCAGCACCAAGAACTGAATAGTTAGACTACCTGCACATATGATTTTAATTAGAATGGCCAAGAACTGAATACAGATAAATGATGCACATAGTACGCCACAAGGTCCCCAAATATCACTTGTCAACTTTTGAATTGATAGTGGTCCCTCTCATAGACAGGGTGTCAACCAAGGCGTAAATGCTCAGTTTGTTCAACTATTTAACTATATGAACACATACCTTTCTCGTAAGTGAATGTAATGATCTTGTATAAAATTTTAACTGGGCTCTCCGATGTTTCATTCCGATCCAATATATTTTATATATATATATATTATACATATGTATGTGTGTGTGTGTATATATATATATATATATATATATATATATATATATATATATATAGATAGATAGATAGATAGATTACACACACACATATACACACACACACATAAGTAATCGACTAAGATCGCCAGCTTGAAACTTAAGTAGCAACACGAGCTGTGGGTCGTTATGAAACGCTTTGTACCTGCCTGTCTGGATAGCAGTTAGTTACTGCTTAAGTAGTTGTTTACCTTTTGATCTTTTCTTCTGTCTTAGTTTACATTTTTTTCTTGTCTAACGTTTGTTTCATTTTTTTAGGTCTTTTTGCACGTACCTTGTTGGTTGCATCAAAGTTTTATATATATATATATATATATATATATATATAATGTACAGTACTAAAGCAGCGAGAATACATTCAACATATTAAATTGTATGTATGTATGTATGTATGTAGTTTCCATATTCTAAAGGTTATAATTAGTGGGTACGCGATTTTGAATAGACATCACTGTTTTTTAAACACTCTAATTAATGTTTATCGAAAGAAAATGTGCGATCCAACAGGAATCGAACGCATATTCTTTTTCTAATCTGAAAATTTGTTTGTTTTAAAATGGGTGGACAGTTTCGATACCTATAGGGTGGCATCATTTCTTAATATCTTTGGAAAGGCTTTGTGTAGCTCGGTAAACATTAATATTACTTTCAAAAACAAAGCTTTCTATTCAAAAACTTGTATCCACTAAATAAAGCGTTTACAGTAATATGCATGAAATAACGTCAGATTAAAAAATACATTAATTACAAAATAAATATTGAGAAAGAAGGAAAAATAGATGAGTATGTCTGTGTATATGTGCGGAAAAGCGTGAGATTATATGTTGCTATTTGAGAACAGCCTCTACTCGCGATCAAATCGAAATTCTGTGCCTTACCGATATCAACAGATATCCACCCCCTAGTCGCTTACCTCTAATCTGAAACAAGCAAACACACTGAAAAGATGAGTCTGGTAACCTAAAAAAGAATTCAAGTCCTCGCCACAATAATTGTTGAACTGCATTTGGTTGGCGTGCAGTCGCGTGATGTAGGGTTCCATTACACCCAGATAAAACAAAGTCGACTCCTCACCCAATTTGCTGATTTATTCTCGCCTCTTTTCACTGTGCAATTGCTTCTCCACACTTGCCTGACATTAAGACTGATAACGCTTTGATATTGGGCCGACTACGAAAGATCAAAGGAAAACAGGCGGTAAGTGATTGTCTATACCGTGTTGCTTTTTTTATGAAGTGAAGAGGAAACTGGTAAATAGAAAAAAGAATGAAAGAAGGCTTAAAACGAATAACTGTAGCAATCAGAATTCTGAAAAAGAATATTGTTCATAACACCTGAAAAGATTTTGCAGGTACAATAATTTAAAAGCCCAGAAAGTGAATGAATTGTAAAGAGAGTAATAAAAAAATATTCTTAAGAAATTGTCCAATTTCTGAGTGTTCATTGTCGAAGGAAGTAAAACGTATTTTATCTGTAAGGAAAAAAAAAAGCTAGTATTTCACTGTTGTGCGCCGACCGACAGTTTTGTTTTCTATTGTATCATGGCGGTTTTTTAGCGCAAACGAGTTGACAGCTATCAATGTACATACGTATGTACAACGTGTAATAATGGGTGAATAGGGAATGAAACGGTGTATATAATGAAGAAAAACGCATGAAAAAGACGAGAATAGCATAAAAAAGAGGGAAATTAGAAATGTTAGTACATTAGAGAGAAATAAAAGACTTGTTGTGATTTGTGTAAAGTTATAAGCCGGAAAAGGACTTTTTCTTACTTCACAGTTGGGCACTTCAGACCGCTCACTGATCTATATCAAAATTGATGTCAAGCGAAAAGCATACACTGATTTAATAGGACAAGAGATAGAGACACTTGAAATTTCTAGGGCACATGATCAGGAAAGTGGACTTAGAAAAGTTGGCACTCACAGGACAATACTGAAGATGAAGGAGAGTGGAAAGCAACGAACTTGTGTAAATGGTTGGCAGAATAGGAATTAGGAGATATAGTGAAAAGACAAACTTTACTAATAACTACAAAGGACAAAACATCAGAAAGAGACAGTTAAAATTTACTGAAGCTCATAATGAGGAAAAAGGGCTTGGAAAGCTTGATACTCACATGACAGATTGAAGGCAAGGGGGACAGAGAAATACAATGCATAACCTACGTAATGAGCTTGAGCAAATGGATGGTGGAACAAGGTTTAAGAGAAATAACAAAAAGACATCGTTTATTAAGAGATATGTTGGAAATATATTGTGGAGAGCTATGATCGCCTACGGCCTGAAGGGACACGGCCCATAGAAGAAGACGATCGATAACGAGAGTGACAGTGGGACTTTTTAGATAAAAATGGTAACAAAACGGAAACTTATGCTTAACATCAGGAAGAGATAGTTGAAATATCTAGGGTACATAATGAGGAAAGAAGGCTTGAAAAATTTAATACTCACAGGACAGAATGAAGGCAAGAGGGACAGCGGAAAACAATGCATAACCTATTTAGCGAGCTTGAGTAAATGGACGGCGG